TAATAATAATAATCTAAGGCTAATTTAAGAAAAATGAAATGAGTGTGATTATCCATATTTTAAATTTTTATTGACACACAAATGATTTTAATGTAATTAGCATTTACTATCAAGATAAATGAATTCATATTTTTTTGCCTAATTCATAGTCTTGCTAAGAAATATTCTACTGAACATTTATCACAATTCATGTAACAATTGTGGCATAATTAATTATTATTATTATATATATATATATATATATTGTCTTATTGTTACGTAGGTGTTACCCAGGTCTTTGTTTAAAAAAAAAAGAAAAAAATAAAAATTGAGTATTTACGTAATTTTAATAGGTGTTAAATGTAATATTTTATATAAAATATAGATTGTTGATATAATATTTTAAATTGAAAATATGTATTATGCAATATGTTTTTTTTCTTTTTTTTTTTTAAAAAATACTATTGATAAATGATGTTAAACTCAAAAAAAAAAATAAAAATGTAAATATCACTATGATTATTGTAAAAATGTCATTTTACTTATTGTAGCACACCTAATAATATTAATTTATTATCTATATATTTAAATAAAAAATTTAAATTATATTTTTTATTGATATCACATGTTGCACCAAAATACAAAAAATTTCAAATCACGACCACAAGTTTACCGGTCAAACCATGTATCTAAATAAAATTTTAATAGTATAAGATTTTATAATAAAAAACTATATTTTTTATTTAGAACTATACAAATTGAAAAGTAAAAAAAAAAAAAAATTGAATTAATTTAAATCATGTCTTCATTTTCAAATAAAATTGAATACAAATTTTATATATTAATTGTGAATTGAGTTATTAGGTATGAATTATTATTATTATTTTTTTTATAACATAAAAATCTGCAATCACTTATTTTTCGAGTGCTATGGATAAACCGTCAACCGAATCTATCATATATGAATTGTTTTTTTTTTTTTTTTATCAGAAAGATCAAGAAATTTATAAATAAATAAATAAAATAATAATAGTTAAATACATATACACCGGACATACCCGAAAAACAATCAACTCAAAAGATGAAATATAAAATAAAGAGGCTTTTGTTTAATATTGGAAATACAAACCTAATGAACTATGCTAAAAGGATTTTGGACTCCATTAAATGTAAATGGACTAGGGCTTTGGAAATGTGTGGGCTTGGGTTCATACTAATCTATATTATACTCCATATCAAAAAATTTTAAAATTTAAATTTTTTTTCTGAAGTTTTTTATTTGGAAAATTGCATAAATTATAAAATTTTGAAATTAAAAAATAATAACAATACTAGTTTTTTTATGAAAATTTATATTAATTATGGAAATTTTATGTTGAAAAAATTATTATGGAAATTTCAGGTTTGTTCACTCAATTTATTTTTTGTTGCACAATTCCTATAAATATTATAAAGATACAATCTATACATATTAACAAAAAATATATATATTACATAAAATACTGTTTTTGATATTACCCATATAATTATTCATACTTAATATATATAAAAAATTATATATATTTATACAAAAACACAAAGTGAACACTGACATTAAATTTGAAATTTTAAAATTAAAAAATATATATATATATTACTAGAAGTTTTTCTTCATAGAAAATCTTATTATTTATATATATATATATATAATTCATCCATTCCAAAACAATAGACTCAATTAGTCATTTTCGTCTGTTTTAAAACAATAGTTTCATTTTCATTTTTGGTAACTAACTCTCCACAATTTTATAAAATTATCACAACTTTTTCAAAATAATCACATAAAGTATAAAGTAAGACATTTTGATTTTTCAAAAATACTTTTATACTCAATATCAAGATAATACTAATATTTTTTAATTCTCGTGTCCATCCAAAATATTCTTATTGTTTTGGAATAGAAGAAATATATTATATCATATCATATATTAAGATTATTTTTATAACTTTATTTTAAAAATAAATAAATTTATGTATTTATATAATTATGGCCATCGAAAGGACTTCTAAACTTCACCGATTCTCTCCATCTCTGCCCTCACCTGATTCTCTATCGAAACTCACCAAAAATGCTCACGGGCCGGGGTTGTTCTTGTCTCTCTCCCCGTGTTCTTCACCGATTTCTTTTTTTTTTTTACTTTTTTTTTTATGGTATATTACACCCTAAACCCCCTATTCTATGTCCAATGAGATTCGCAAACCAACTAACAAACTCATTAAGGATTGGACTTAGGGTTTGGACGAGGGAATAGGACGATCCGGTGAGTCGGGCTAAGGTCTAAGCCAACATCTGTGTGTAATTACTTCATACATAATAATCACTGACTCTTGTTTCGGAATGTCACAGTATATAGACATTCCTTGCAAATTTCAAAATTTTTGAAAATTTCTACTCATTGAAATATTATTATTTATGTCCCTTCATTTTCTTTACTAGGATATATGATGCCTCAGGTCCTCCCAGATTTGATTTGGATTGCACTTTTTGTTGTTTATTTATGAGTTAGTAAATCATGTCTTCTCTCTATTATTTCATAAATTTTATTTCATGTACTTCCTTATTGGACCATGTTTTGAAGATCACGACTGAGTCTTTCTCTAATTGCGAACCGGCGAGCCAAAAAAAAAAAAAAAAAATTTATCTGAAATCCGTCGATAACAGGAACATCAGCGAAAAAATGAAAAAAAATATATATAGAAGAAAAAAAGAGATAGATTGAAACAGAGTTTAATGAAACATTAATTTTCTTTTTGAAATTTATATATATATATATATTATATTTTATTTATTTTTTAATTAATAATTTCATATATCCATTTTTTAACGAATTTCGCGATCGAAATTCAATTTTATTTTTACCAAACATTCGTTTATATCCTTAAACAAGCTTAAACCGATTTGAATTGACCCAAATTCACAATAACTTTCGTTTAGTAGCTCTAAGGGTCTCATTTACTTTTTACATATTGATCTTTGAATATTAATTATTATATCAAAACGTAATACAAATTAAGAAAAAAGTTGCAAAAATACTTTCATTAGTGTCTTATAATACTAATAAAAGAATATTTGTAAAAAAAAATATTTTTAATGTTAAATACAATGATGTAAAAAGTAAATATGACTCTCGGAGGTGGTGTGAGTAATATTTTTTGCAAAATTTTTTATTGATAAATATTGCTAGAAATTCTAATGTATATATACACGCTGAAAGTGTATAAAAATTACAAGAATACTTCATAATAACAGCAATCATATATATATATATATAAATATATTATTATTATTATAGTATTCCTTATTCAATAGTTTTTTACATACATTGTATTGTATTATTGTGAAAGTATAGTTTTTTACAATTTCAATTTGAGAAAAGAAGATGAAAGACGGTCTGTCCGAAAGTTCAAAAAGCAAGGACTGAAGGAGGGTAAATAAAAGGTGATGCAGGTTTGATCGAATTGCTGGGGGCAGGTGTAAGATAAAGAAGTGTAGAAGATTAAAAATAAATAAAAAATATATATATAATTAGAAATTAAAATTTAATTTTAAAATTAAATAAAATAATTACGAAGAAAAAAAAAGTAAAAATTAAAAGTTAAAATTTAATTTTAAAATTTAATAATAACAATAGATAATATTTAAAATATAGGTCCTCTATTAATCAGGGCCCTGAGCAGTTGCTCACCCTACTCCTGCTATGAGCCGCCCCTGTTCGTGACAAGTTCACGTGAGAAACCAAATTATTTGATTGAAAACAAAGACTTCAGAGTCCCAGTATTAGGTTCGACCGGAGGTTTACTCAGTGCATGCTTTTGAATAACGATTGCGGATTCCTACGTCATTATAAAAAAAAATTAAAAAAAAAAAAAAAAAACCTGCTAAAACCTTGTAAATCTGAATATGTTAAACCCAAGTTTGGAATGCAATAATTTTAAATTTATTGAATAATTTTTAATTGTTTAACTCTAGTTTTAAGTGTTTATAAATTTGCTTGTGTTTGATTTGATTCTATTTCTTTTTATTCATAATTTTCCTTTTATGCATTAATCTTCATTCACATACTATATAACAATATATTTTTATTAGTTATATTAATATATTTTTTGAGTAAATTATAAATTTACTTTTATGAAGTTAATAATTAAAATAATTATTTATTTATATGTAAAATATTTATTTTTGTTAAAATAAATACAAAACAGAAAATATTAATATTATTAATTTGTATATATTCTATAACGTTAATTTTTTATTAAAATAAATGTATTAAAAATGATTTAATTATAATTAAAAAAAGTAAATTAATAAAAAATTACCTTAATAAAAATAAATATTCATATTTTTTAATAAAAATATATTAATTTTCTTACAAAATATTTAATAAATAATAATAATAAATATTTTAAAAATTCTATACACCAAAAGAAACACAATTAAATATTTTAAAAATAAAATATATAATATCTTTAATTTTTATGTTTGAAATATAAAATGATAAAAACAAACAGCACAAATAATAACTAATATATTTAGTTAGTCAAATTTGCAAATTTAATTAAGTAATAGCTAATTGTTAAATACTCTTTTTATATTTAGAAGATGTCGGGATGTATTATTTTTTTAAGAAAAAAAAAAAAAAATAAATCAATCTTAATTTAGAGAATTGTAAAAAAGGAAAAAAAAAATAATAATAATAAATGATTAAAACGTACACAATATAATAAATTAAATCAATTAAATCTTAATTTCAAATTTTGGGTACGTACCATTGATGAACCATATATTACATTGCATGCACAACTTTCATTGCTTACATTCATTCATTTCCACGGATCAAAATTTTGAACCAAATTAATCATCAACAACATATAGTTTTTTTGAAATTTTGGAATTTTGAAAAATAAATAAAAAAATTAGTACTTGATTTAATGTTTTGTAAAAAAAAAAAAAAAGAAAAAAAATTATTGTATTTAATGCGATATTTTTCTAAAATTAATAATGCGAAATGAATAAAAGTGTGTTTAGTAAACAAAGCCTGAAGTTGCAGAATTACCGAACTCTTTTGTTTCTTAATTAGTTGTTCCATAGAAAAATGCCGAAGAAATAATCGAGAGCTCGACAACTGCAACTTCGTCGTCGTAATGCCAGTTAGGGAGCCGATGAAAGTGTTCACCTGCTTTGAAAGTTAAACTTCCCGATGCAATAAGCAAACACAGAGGCGAAGATAATCGGGTACAGAATCAGCATAACAGCAACGAGAGGCAGACGGTCATAGCCATACCCGAAGTAATCGTTCAAGAACGCCGCCACTGTCTTCGTCTCTCCAAACACTTCGATCTCTGTCTCCACGTCACCATACTGCGAAGTGAGCAGCCCGTTCAACGACCACGAAGTCGGCGCAAGATAATATAACCATATCCACCACGCCGGGATTTGCTGCGAATCGATATGTTAGAACATACTTTAATACGAATGTGTACTTTTTGTTAAATTTTTTCTTCGAACAAGTGTTTACCGGATGAGGAATCAAGAATCCCGCAAATAGGTTGACTGTCGTAATGAAAGCGTGTCTCAAAATGGCGGCCATTGGCAAGCTCGGGGTGATGGAGATCAGCATCATCCCGGCGTAAGTGAAGTAGGAGAGTGTGCAGAACACGGTGTACAAGTACCAAAACACCTTGTCCGCAGACCTGTGGTATCCGATCATCGGATAGGTAATCGCCGTGAATGTCAAAGCTTGTGCCAAGAGGTATGGAATCTCGATTACCACCTGTTCGAGTAACGCAAACTGTGAGTTTCGATCGAGAGCTGGCGAATCAACCATTTTGAAATAACGACGTTTTACCTGTGCGATTGAATAAGCCCACGAAGCGTACATCCCAGCGAACCTTTCTCTATAGACAACGGTTCGTTCTTTGCTGACATACGGCATAATCGAAGAAGCATTGATGAAGCCACAGTAGATGGTCGTGTTGTACATCGAGCCCAACACAGTGAATAGACTCTGCTGATTATGACTAGCAAAATAACAGAAATACCGATGAATGTATAGACTTATTATAGAAAAAACATGAATGAAACTCAAGATTTTGCGGAAAATGTACCTACATTTTCTTGCCTTGATCCCTAAACAGAAAGGCGTAGAAGAACGCTGCAAAGAGGAAAAGAGTCAAGCGCATCAAGTTGTACGAGGGGCTTCGCCAATACGACCAATGCTGCTTCCATAGGCAGCTTTTGAACTGTCCCCAGCCGCTTTGCGCGTAACGGGTTGCAAAATTCAAGTCCTTCGAACCAGGCGGCGCAATGCTTAGTTTTCGGATGAGTTCTTTGTTAGTCCTTCAGAAAACAGAACATAATATTATAGAACGATTAAAATAGGTAACATTTAAGGAGATACTTGTCGACTTACTGCTGCAAAGTAGAGTTTTTGTAAATCTCGGCAAAGTCTATCCCGAGCATGGCTTCTGAGGATGGGGAAGTGACCTCCAACATCCATGTAGCTGGATTATAATTATCTCGAATCTTTGGCACACCAGGGATACCCTGTGAAAATAATAAACAGCAACGACAAATAAGATTTTTTTTGATCATGTAAATTTCGACATGCTCATTCATTGATGGTGAGTCTTGCCTCGAAATATTTGATCACTTCGGACGAGCGCCAACCTAAGGGTCCATAGTAGATCATACGGCCGCCAGTTTTCAAAAGTAAAAGCTGTAGTTACGGAAGATACATTAGCAACGTATTAAGAAAACTATAATCAAGAAACTAGTCGCGGAATACCTCATCAAATGCTTCAAAAATGTCGAAGCTAGGCTGGTGAATGGTACAGACGATTGTTCTGCCAGTAGTTGCAATGTTTTTTACCGCGCGCATGACAATTACTGCTGCCCGACCATCCAGTCCAGTTGTGGGCTCATCCATAAAGATGATTGAGGGGTTAGCAACAAGTTCGACAGCTATTGTCAGTCGCTTCCGTTGCTCAGTTGACAGACCATCAACTCCAGGCAAGCCAACTAAGGCATCTTTTATGCCATCCAGTTCGATGGTTTCAAGGACTTCTCGTACAAATTCCTGCAAGACATGCATAAATCTGAGTTAAAGAACTTTTCTAAAAGCCTAAAGTGGGATTGAGTCCTCAGAAACTATACATATTTTGTCGTTGCATTGATGTGTGGATCCAGACGTAGCCATGCAGAAAAGATAACAGATTCCTCCACGGTAATTTGGGGGGAATGAATGTCGGTTTGCTCGCAGTAACCTGAAATTCTAGCAAATGTACTTTGAACTTTAGGATACCCTCCAATGTTTATTTTTCCTTGTACATTGCCAATATTTTTTCTGCCAGAAAGAATATCAAGAAGGGTTGTTTTTCCAGCTCCGCTGACGCCCATGAGTGCTGTAAGGACACCCGGCCTGAATGCACCCGTGATATCATATAGAAGCTGAAGCCCTTTCTGATGCTTCTTCGTTGCCTGAGGGGAAATAAGGGACCAAAATAAAGCATATGTTCCGAAGTACAGCCATGAAAATTTGAATTTTCAATCACTTTCCAAGTTTACCATGGGAGTGTCGATGAAGTACTGTATATCTTGAAACACCATACTTAGAGGTTCAAAGGGCAAAACCATTTTTCCTGCAGCATATGCAAAACACATCAGTTTATTGAAGATCTTATAACAAAAATGAAGGGAAGTTGTAAACCTTTATGAGAAGTTTCTTTAGGAGGAGAATGTGTGGATGGTTCCTCTGCTTTAGCATTGCTTTCTGATTCTACACTTCCTAATAGCTTAGAAAGCTGTTCAGATGAAATGATAGCACGAGAACGAGCAGCTGGTGCGATTGCAAGTGGTGTTTAGAAATCAAAGCATCGATCATTAACTTATTATGAAGACTACACAGCAGCAGTAGTGTTCTTACTCTTCAAGAAAGTTAAAGCTAGTGTAAACCCAATGTTGAAGACAACAACAAAACCAAGCAGTGCACTGAGTGATAACCAGAAAAAATTTGGACCGTAGTTTAGACCTCGGCTTTCAAGTGTTTGATGCCCCACTGTTGTATTCCCAGGGAGCTCCTACAAACAATAAGAATCGAGCACGCAACAAATATTATTAACCTTAAAGGTAACGACAAAAAAGGTATGGAATGTGTAAGACAAATCAATTTGAAACACCTTTTGCCATCTTGGAGCAAGGAACTCATTAGTTGAAAGTCCTATCTCCACGTACGAAAATGGAGAAACCCAAAAGATCCATTTTAACCAGACAGGCATAGATGCTGTCAAGAAGTCACTTCTTAAGTTGTATTTTAAGAGTTTTTCTACACATGATAAACATGCAACAACTTCTAAGTAAGACCGAAAATAAAGAAAAAAATTACATACGCATTGGGATCAGGAAGCCACTGGACAATATATTGATTAACACAGCCAAAATACCAGCTGCTGTTGTTGCAGCCACAGTCTGGAAGAAAGATGCTAAACAATAGAACATTGATACTGAGGCCAGGTGTCCTCCAAATATTAGCATCATGCAACGGAAAAATCTGAAAATGTCGGCAGTATTATATTATAGCAGACTATGAAGTATATGTTGTGATGAATGATTGAGCAGAGATCAACTAACCTCCCCACCTCAGGGGTAAACCCGATGGTATAATAAGTGAGAACAGTCCATACTAAAGCTTTTAAAAATGACATAGGAATCTTTAGAATGGCAACTGGAATTGCATATGCCCATGCAGGATAAAAGTACAGGTCCCTTTGTTTGTAGAAACCCGGAAGTCGTGAAGTTGTCAGGAGGATCTCTGTCAACCCATCAGCGATAATAATGATAATAGAATAGAACATAGCACCTAAGTAATAATTGGCGTGTCGAAGATCAACACGCATTTGTGTTCGTAGGAAAACAGTCATTGTCACAGCTGCAGTGATGACCATCTGCAGAGGAATTATGTTTCAGCAATGGAGAAACCAAGTTGGGATCATTCATAATTCACGAAAAGAAAGATAACCTCATTTAACGAGCTACTGACCTGAGTAGCTTTGAATGTGTGAATGAAAGAGTTTCTTTTCATGAGAAGGAATTCCCGGGACATACATGATCTAAAAAGATCCCACTTAGAAAGGGAATATCTTCCGAAGGTGATCGCATTTTTATGTCCCTTCAACTTATCAAATGGCACAGAAAGATCTGCATTAAGTTTTTCCCCATGCTTAAACTCCTTATATTTGCGGGAAAACATGTCGACAGACACATATCTGTACGGAGCCCCAGTGTCGTGCCAATATTGTTCTTGATCTTTCCTTGACATAACCTGAAAACCAATTAGCTATTCAAACATTGAGAGACGAAATAAAGACCAAAAACTCTGTTTAAAGAACTTGCCTCCTGGAGAAAATCAGCAACTCCTTTCCTTTCAGGACAATTAAATCCACAAATCCTAAAAAACTCCAAAACATCGCATCGAGGTCCATGATAAACAACTTTTCCCTCTCCCATCAGAATGATTTCATCGAACAGATCAAAGGTCTCTGGCGCAGGCTGGAGAAGTGAAACCAGTATGGTAAAATCTGTGATGTGGGCCATCTGCTGCAGGCAGCTAATAATTTGATACGTAGTTGAGCTGTCTAGGCCGTTTGAGATTTCATCCATGAACAAAGCTTTTGTTGGCCCAACAATCATCTCACCTGCATTGAGTTATTGTTTGAACACACCCAACCTTGCTTATGTTGAAAGCATATATATTTTAAACATAGAAGCACAACTTGAAGTTTGACATGTAAAAACTTGGCATTCAAATACCTGTTGTCAGTCTCTTCTTCTGACCACCAGATATACCTCTTCTCATCTCATCTCCGAGCACTGTGTCAGCGCATATATCAAGTCCAAGAATCTGAAATGCACAGGAAGAATATGGAAACTGTCAACACAAGGTGGTGCTCTATTAAATGAAATGTGATTTAGTTGCTGCATCCAGCAAGTGAGATACTTTCAGTATGTAGTCTGTCTGAAGTGTAGTTTTTTGTCCCTCCACAGAAATAGCCTGTTCAAACGAAGATGCATTAGGAAATCATAACATAAAAAAAAAAAAAAAAAAAAAAAAAAAAAACAAGGCATATCTGTTCAATTATTGTTGGATCAAATGAAATATTGCTAATACATGGGAAACACAACCGAATATTTGGTGAGATTCAATCAAAGCACCTTCATGTAAGCATCTATATCGGCATCCGGAACAATTTGAGCTTCTTTCTCCCTCCTGATGACCTCAGCCATAATTTCTTCAAAGAAAGAAGAGTACAACATGGTTGCCAATCTAGCATAGCGTTACTAAGTATTCAACTCTAAAATATTAATACTATTGCGGGATGACTAGTATTTAAAAATATACATATAAAAATTATTATATATTTAAATTTTCAATAAAAGCGCATAAGAAAATTTCTATAGATTAATCTTATAATTATCATTCAAACCAATAAAATTGCAAAATATAATCACAATTCACAGATATAAACAAAAACAATTAGATCACAACCATTTTAAAAGATATATTCAACTCTTGTATGAATATTGTTAATATTCTCTTTTTCGTCATTTTCATTCATTTCTTTCATTCTATGTTCTTCTTATTGTACAATGTTCTTTTTCTTTCTAAAGTTAGAAGTAGCTATTATTAGTATACTCTATATTTACAAAATAATGAAGATAATATTATATTATGAAATCTAATATAATATGGAGTACATCATGCTATAGTAAACAAACATTTGAATAGAAAATCCACTTTCTGTTCTTCCATGCATACCTGCTCTGCCGCCAATACCCTGACAAAGAGAAGCAAAATCTAGTGTTTCTCGGACAGTCATTTCAGGTATATGTAGATCATATTGGCTTATATAAGCCGAAGTTTTTTGAGGCACAAACTCATCAAGTGAATATCCATTGTATGAGATCTCTCCAGAAACCTGTTGCAGTGTAGCAAAGCAGCTCTAAAACCAATCAGAGCACATAATACAACATAGGATTAAAGAAAATGAAGACCTTGCCTTGAGTGATTTGTCTAAATTCCCAGATAGAGCTTTCAACAGTGTAGTCTTCCCACACCCAGGGGGGCCAAGTAGTAAAGTAAGTCTGTGAATCACAAGAAATATAGCAAAAAGTGCAAGAATTAGTCAAGAAATTAAGACTGGAAAACCTTAACAAAAGATTACATGTTTACCTTCCTGGCTTGATGATACCATTCACATCATTAATAATGCTGATGTGAGTCTCCTTCCGTGGCAGCCCCGGCAATCTCGTGATATTCTATCGAGCAAAATGAAATGCATAAATAAATCAAAAGGGGACAGAACATGGTTGTTAAATAGAACGTGAACTAGAAAGAATTCATAAACATAAATGTATCTTGCGTTTAACTAACTTATAAGCATGGCTCACCGAAATCAAGCTTTTGAGAGAGTTCCAAAGGGTCGGGAGAGGCTTCCCGTAAACGACCTCGCACTCGGCTTCCACACGCAGATTCGAATACCTAATCTCTATTGTTGGCAGCTCAACTCCAACTCTACATCAGCATCAATATATATTATATACTATAAGCCTTTGAATGCAGCACCAAAAGTAATAATTAATTAATGGATTTACAGAATCGATTCAGATGATTCTTACTTATCTATTCGTCTCCTCATGTTGCGCAGCAGTTTGAGATTGTCGTGCTCAATGTGCTTGATGAGCTTCTCGATGAACATATGCTTCTCAGAGGAATCAAGTTTGGTAACATCGAACACCTTTTTCCCTTTAGGTTTTTCCATTTCTTCATCATCGCCGCCGTTTTCATCAAACAAAGAAGTTCTCAGCCGCTCCAATGTCGGCAACCTATCAATGGCCGCCCACTGCGACGCCGTCTGCTCGTCAGAGCTCGCCGCCGAATCGGTGCGGTGGAAGGAAGACCCCAAGCTTCCACTGACCTCCGATACATCGATTCGGAACGAGTCTGTGTCGAACTGGTTCATTGCAAGGTGTGTTGATTATCTGCAGATTTATGGAAGTTGAGACGACGACGACAACGACACACAGCGGCAGCACTGCAGCACTCGCGTCGGCTGTAAATGCATCGAATGAAGTGTTCCGTTGGCGAGGAGTCGTGTCCGCCATTGTTATATATATAAAAGTGGTGGTGCAGGTGCTCGCCGGCGATTGAGGTCAGAATTCCGTTCCCACGACTTCTCTTCCCGACAGGACAGTAACGCGAATCACATGGAATGATATATGAATAAAATAATATGCTTCCATGTTCATCCAATCATTTACTTAAAACGAGAGATTTTTTTTTTATGTTTTGAAGTTTTGTAATTTTAATAATAATAATTTGATACAATATTTTGTCAAAAATATATAAAATATATATAATTAATATGATATTTTTTAAAATATATGTAAATTGAGAGAAATATTAGTTGTCTTAAATAAAATTGAAGTTTTTGTTTATAATTTCAAACTTATTTTTGTATTATTCATTTTGTCCTGTTATTAATAAAAAAAAAATACTCTTTCCGTCCTGCAGCAAGCAAGGTTGTACTTGTATTATTTTTGTATTATTTTTACTAATATATTTTTAATTATCTAGTAATTATATTTTTTTTAAATTTCAATGTCTAACACATAATGTGAGACGAATGGAGTAACATACAATAATAACAATATAGATTATCCAGCATGTATTGTCTATTATATTTATTGTATTAATATATTTTGTGTGTTTGAATTTAATTGTAATATGTGTTATGTGAATTATTATTATTATTATTATTATTATTATTATTTGTGCTATAAATATTGTATTATCTATAAATACTAAGAGTGTATTTATTTTATGAAATTATTTTGAAGAGATGTTTTTTTAATGTGAAATATAGTAATTATGTAGGTAATATAAAAATAATATATATTTATAATAATATATTAATTTTTAAAAAGAATATAAATATATATATATTTTTTTTTACAAAAAGAACACATTCAACATAGTAACAATTGTGATATATATTTTGATTATATTTTAATTTTTATTTAAATTGTAATTTAATACATATTTTATACTCTCTCTCGTCTTATATTTTTATTTTCTTTTGTTCCAAAATAATTGTCTCGTTTCTCTATTTAGTAACTGTGATCCCTATTTTATAACAAAATTATTTATAATTTTTCAAACTACCCCTAATTATTACTCTAACCTACTTTTTAAAATTTCTCAAAAAATAAGAATACTTTAATCTTTTGCATTTTAGTCTTTATACTTAAAATTCTTCATGAATATTATAAATAAAACAACAACTACTAATAATAATAATAATAATAATAATAATAATAATAATAGAACATTTGTTGCTTATTAATTATAATATGTTTGGTACGATTTGTCATTTGATCTCAAAGATCAGAAGATATATTCTATTTGACTAAAACGAGTGTGTAACGTGTTACGATTACGAAATTCGCTATTTTATTGTTTATTTATTTAATAATATTAAAATAATTTACATTTTATTTATGTATTTATAGTCAACTTTAAACAATGAGTAACAAATTTTATTACTCCTTCAGTTCTAAAAGTATATTTGCACGGTTTTTTTAGGTAATTGTCTTTGTTTTTAATTGTACGGCAGAGATTAAAAGTAATAAATGAATGAAAGATAAAAAAAATATAAAGTTTATGTTTAAAAAATAAAAGAGGACAATAGTAGTTGGACGTCCCAAATATAGAAAAGCAAGACATTAGTTTACGAACGAAGAGAGTATTATTTTTATTGTGACGTGGACAAATATGTTCCAGGTAAGCCTCTGTCCAAATTTAACAACTTACAGATTAAGTTTGAAAAATTTAAAAACGTAGAGAAATAATAGTATTTTATTAGTCCATTTTACATGATGATTGTTCCATGCGTGGCCAGATGACAAAAATAACAATTTTTGTAAATATATAGAATAGATTTTATGAACAAAATAAATAAAAGATAAAAGTGATAATTTAGTATACATGAAGTATATTTTTTTGCAATTGGCTAGACAAACAATACACAGTTTTTTTTTTTAATTTAATTTCTTTTGTTTTAATAATAATTTAAACTATATTTTGTGAGAAAAAAAATAATGCATATTCATATAAAATTGTAATAATTGCATGGTAAAAAATACCTAAAAGCTAAATTTCAAAAAAGAAACAAATTTTAAAGGTGTATTCGGCATAGAAATATCACTAACACATTTTCATTCATTCGGCACTGTTCATTTTTAAAAAAAATATTACATCAAATATATTTTTTTTTTCACAAAATATCGAATCAAAGATTAACCGTTTACTTTTTTTCCAAACTTTCAAAATTTCAAAAACTTCTATCTAAACAAAACCTATGTTTCTATTGGATGTTGTACTTGTTATAATTTCTTTACCTTCAAAACTAATAAATTAAAATATATTTTCTATTATAAATATTACTTTCTTCTTCATTCAAATTTATATTTAGTACACTATTTTTTTAAAAAAATATTTTTTATTATAAAAGATAAAATGTAACAATTATTATTTATTTTTATTAAAATTTGTATCCAAATATTTGAGTAATAAGTGGATGACATTGAGAGTACATCAAAATTTAATTTACATTCAAGATATCATATTTCATATTTAATTCAAAATTTCAATTTTATTAATCTCAAGTCTAATTACCAAAACTTTTAACCATACACACCTTACAATAATTTCTATAAGATATATGATGATTATTATTGATACGAAAATTAACACATATTATGTAACGCTTTTTTTTTTTATTTTTATTTGTTTCACATGTCATATTAATTTTTTGAAAATAATTGCATATTTCAATTAAATTTTATATTTTATAATTTATAATTTTTTTAAAATTTTAATTAAATTAATTAGTTATATTATAATTATTTATATTATAACCTAATTAATTTATTAATTTATTATTAATTATTTACTAATTATGTATCTTTTAACTTCTCGTATCTAATATTATATCTGATACAGAAGAAGTAATTAGGTATGTATAATAAATACTTTTATAATTTTTATGAACTTGGTGTGATTTTATTTTGGCACCATATGGATACCTAAAATTGGTCAACTCTTTTGATTATTTTAAGATACTTCCTCCGCTCCGATTAAGATGATTTCTTTAGGTATAAATACCGTATAAGTTATGATATTATTTTATTATTTATTATATGAGTAGTATTTTTATATTTTAAATGTTTTCAACATTATATATATCAATAAAATATATACAATATGAATATTATTTTATAAAGAATAAAATTTTATATAATATCAATAAATAAATAACTATTTATTTATAATTAACTTATAACTAATTTTATAAAAAAAAATAAGAAACTTTAAATATAAATAAAAATATGAATAACACCTGCACCCGTAGAAATCTCTCGATTGCGAAACGTCTCGAAGCGAAATTCACCTTTTCCTTATTGGGCTTGGGACTCAGAGAATGGTTGGGACATTTGTTTACTTACGAGCTTTATTTATTTATATTTATTAATATATTTAAAATGAATAAATTTATAAAATTAGAAATGAGTAATGTTATATGGACCAACCAAAAAAAAAAAAAATCATCTGACAAAACATAAATAGTGTGTTTTTTTGTGTGTCTTATGAGGATTTTATATTAGCGCAAAAAGAAGAATAAAATTGATTTTAAATTTTGATTTGAATATTAATTTAAAGGTAATATTTTATGAAAAATATTTTAATAAGAATAATAAAAATGAGTGAAAATGACAAAAATATATAAATTGTATAAAACCATATAGTATATATGATGTATCAATTTTGAATATAAATTTAAAAATATTGATATTTTATATGTGATGGTTAGTATGTAACTATATATATATTTGACAATCGTAGCAACTCATCCGACAAAGTAAGACACACTAAGAAAAATAATTATATTGATTATATACAATTTAGAAAAATAAAATAAATGTAATGATACGAACAAAAAGTATTGTGTATTGCTTTCAACTTTATATATACTAGTAACAAATCTTAAAAGTATAACCTATTATAATATAAAACTAAAATTGATTTAGAAGTAATATGCGAAATTTTTTAAGAAATACATGTAATTAATAGAGTTTATGTGATAATATAACGTATAAAATTATTATATGTATTTAAAATAAAAATAAAAACAAAGTAAATATAAATGTAACTGAAAAAGAGATATTATTATATTATTATTGTTATTAAGTTAAGAAATATAGGTAATATAAAAATAATGAATTGTGCTTAATATATTATATTTTTTTGAAAAATATGTTTGTGAACGTCTGTTGAAAGAACAATTAGGGTGTGTTTGTTAAAGGTTTTGATTTTGAGTTGGGATTTGAATATTAAAAATTTTGAATTTGAATAGTTGTATGACGTGATATAAATAGGTGTTGATGTAATGTTTTGGAGGAAAAATTGGATGAATAGTGTAAATCCAATCTAATTCCCCAAACAAACACCCCATATCGATCTAATAATTTTTTTAAAATTCTCAATATATATAATATTTATATTTTTCTTCTCACAAAAGTCACAAAATATTCTTCTATATTAACATAGATTCTCTATGCTTCAAAAAAAAAAAAAAAAAAAAAAAAAAATTCAAACTAAAACATATACAAACTCTAAAAAATATATATAGCATTGTGTAATAGTAATATAGCATTAGACAACATATTAAATATAAATTTTCTGTCCACTTAAGATATAACTAATAATATATATTAGTTCCGATCAAATAATAATAATATACCCCATTCGTCTCATATTTATGTATCTAACTAAACTTATTAGTATTATATGATATAAAAGTAATAATATATTGTATTAAAATGATAATTGTATATTAAATAAATAGTAGAATTACATATGGATACGATAAGACATGCCAAAATAAATAAATAAATAAATTGTTAAATATCGAAAGGGAGTATATTAGTTCTATTTTAATCCTTGTTTTCTTTTATTTATTTGTTTTGTTCAATTTCTTTAATATAATAGTTGCATGTTACGAATCAAACTACAGATCAAATTTTCATGTCCTTTGGAAGTTCAACTTACCAATGCAATAAGCAAAGACCGAACCAAAAACAATCGGATACAAAATAAGCATCATACCTACAAGAGGAAGACGATCATCTCCATACCCAAAGTAATCCCTCAAGAATTCCGCCACCGTCTTCCTCTCTCCGAACACCGCAATTGCCGCCTCGACGTCGCCGTATTGCGACGTAAGCAGCCCGTTCAGCGACCACGAAGTCGGTACCAAATAGTAGAGCCATATCCACCACCGAGGAATTTCCTGCGAATCATCGACGTAGTTACTACATGTTCATCGACAAAAACGATCAAAGCGAATCGAAACAAGTCGTGTCGTATCATTACCGGATTGGGAATCAAAAATCCCGAAAACAGGTTGAACATCGAGTAGACGGAGGATAGCGAAATGACAGCCACCGGAAGGTTCGGGGAAACAGCGACCAGCATCATCCCGAGGTAAGTGAAGTACATGAGTGTGCAGAAGACGGTGTACAAGTACCAAAACATTTTGTACGCCGTCCAGTAGTATCCGATCATCGGATATGTGATCGCCGTGAATGCTACAGCTTGTGCCATAAGGTATGGAATCTCGACTATTACCTGCGCGAATGAATAAGCCCACGAAGCATACATTCCCGCGAATCTTTCTCTATAGAGCACGGTCCGTTCTTTAGTGATGTATGGCTGAATCGTCGCTGAATTGTTTATGCCGCAGAAGAGGGTCGAGCTGTACATTGAGCCGAGCAGAGTAAATAGGCTCTGCTGATTATGTCTAGCAAAACAGAGTTTTGTTAATAGAAACTAATGATCGAAACTTGAGGTTTGTCGTCGCGGAAAAAGTACTTACATTTTCTTGCCCTGCCCCCAAAACAAGAAGCCGTAAAGAAAAGCCGCAATCAACATATGGATCGAGCGCATTAAGTTGTACGCGGGGCTTCTCCAGTAAGAGCAATGCTGCTTCCATAGGCAGCTTTTGAACTGTCCCCAGCCATTTTGCGCGTAACGGGTAGCAAACTTCAAGTCCTTCGAACCAAGTGATGGAGTGCTCAGTCTCCGGACGAGATCTTTGTTATTCCTTTGGAGAATAGAACATGAGATGTTATACCAAGATTAAGAAGCACGTGAATAGGAGTTACTTGTCGACTCACTCTTGCAAAGTAGAGTTCTTGTAAATCTCGGCGAAGTCTACACCGAGCTTGGCTTCTGAGGATGTCGAAGTGACCTTCAACATCCATGTAGCCGGATTGTAGTTATCTCCGATTTTTGGAACACCGGGGATACACTGTTAGAACAATAAATCGAAATGATAAGTAAGATTAGATTCGAAAGAGGGAAATGCATCAATATCATGACTTGCCTCGAAATATTTGATCACTTCAGACGAGCATCGGCCTAAGGGTCCGCAGTAGATCATCCTACCGCCAGTTTTCAAAAGTAATAGCTGTAGTTTACATTGATGTGTTAGCAGACCATATTAAGAGTAAAAGATGAAGATATTCCTTGCCAAATACCTCGTCGAATGCTTCAAAAATGTCGATGCTGGGCTGGTGAATTGTACAGACAATTGTTCTGCCCGTAGTTGCAATATTCTTTACTGCACGCATGACAATCGCCGCTGCTCGAGCATCCAGTCCAGTTGTGGGCTCATCCATGAAGATGATCGAGGGGTTTGCAACGAGTTCCACAGCTATTGTTAGTCGCTTCCGTTGCTCGGTTGACAGGCCATCGACACCAGGCAAGCCCACCAAGGTATCTTTTATGCCATCAAGTTCGATGGTTTCAAGAACTTCTCGGACGAATTCCTGCAAGACAAGCAAAGATTTTAAAGAACTCTTTGGGATAAATCCTTGGCATACAAATGTTAACCATACATATTTTGTCTTTTCATCGATGTGTGGATCTAGACGCAGCCATGCAGAAAATATGACAGATTCCTCCACGGTAATTTGAGGCGAATGAATGTCGGTTTGCTCGCAGTAGCCTGAAATTCGTGCAAATGTAGTTTGAACTTTAGGATAACCTCCAATTTTTATTTCTCCTTCTACAATGCCACTTGTTTTTCGGCCAGAAAGAACATCGAGAAGAGTTGTTTTTCCAGCTCCGCTGACGCCCATGAGTGCTGTAAGAACACCAGGCCTGAAAGCACCTGTGATATCATGTAGAAGCTGAAGCCTTTTCTGAGCAAAGCCATGTTCTTTCATTGCCTGAGGAGAAATCGATGAACAAAGTAAAACAGTTGTTATGAAGTATAGCCTTGAAAATTTGAACTTTCAATCTGCATATTCCAATTATACCGTAGGAGTCTCGACGAAGTACTGAACATCTTGGAACACAATATTTAGAGGTTCAAGTGGCAAAACCATTCTGTCTGAAGCATATGCAAATTAAACACAAATCAAGCATTGGAGATCTTATAATTATTCAAACAGAAGTGAAGGCAAATCATGAACCTTTATAAGATGCTTTGCTAGAAGGAGGATTCTTGAAAAGTTCTTCTGCACTAGCATTGTTTTCTGATTCTTTGCTTCCTTGTAGCTTAGAAAGTTGCTCCGATGAAATGATAGCCCGAGAACGAACAGCTGGTGATATTTTCAAACCGTGTTCAACAATCAAAACATCAATCATTATATAACCAGGTAGACAATGCAACAATATAGTAACGTTCTTACGCTTCAAGAAAGTTAAAGCTAATGTAAACCCGATGTCGAAGACAACTGTGAACCCAAGTAGTGCACCGAATGATATCCAGAAAAGGTTTGCACCGTAGTTTAGACCTCGACTTTCAAGTGTTTGGTGTCCCACTGTTGTATTCCCAGATTCCTTCAAACAAGACCATTCAACAAACATTATCTAATCTGAATTGTAACCATGAAAGTTTATGCATATGGAAAACAAATCTAGTCAAAAGCACCTTCTGCCATCTTGAAGAGAGGAACTCGTTCGTCGAAATTCCTATTTCCCCATACGAAAATGGAGAAATCCAAAAGGCCCATTTTAACCAAGGAGGCATTGATGCTGCAACAAAAGTCAGTCCTTAAGTATGCACCCTTGTCTTCTAAGATTACTATAACTACAAGATAAACATGCAATGGCTATTGAATAAGCACAAAGTAATGAAATAGTTACGCACGTTCTGGGATCAAGAAGCCACTGAATAGCATAAGGAATAATATAGCCAAACTACCGGCTGTTATCGAAGCAACCACCGTCTGGAAGAGAGATGCTAAGAAACGGAACAGCGATGTAGAGGCCATGTGTCCAGCAAATATTAGCATCATTTGACGGAAAAATCTAAAAAAAATGCAATGCCAGGTTATAGTAGAATATGAAATATGCATACTGATTAGTGTTTAAGTAGTGAGTGATCCACTAACCTCCCAACCTCAGGGGTATACCCGATGGTATAATATGTTAGAACAGTCCACAATACAGCTTTCAAAAATGACAGAGGGATCTTCACAGTAGCAGCTGGAATTGCATATGCCCAGGCAGGGTAAAAGTATAGGTCCCTCTGTTTGTAGAAAACTGGAAGCCGTGCAATCGTCATGGAGAGTTCGGGTGTCCCTTCAACAATAAGGATGATGATAGAATAGAACAAGGAGCCTAAGTAATAATTGGCATGTACAAGATCAATGTCCATCTGAGTTCGCAGGAAAACAGTCATCGTCACAGCTGCAATGATAACAATCTACAAAGGCATTTTCAGCAGGGGAGAAACTAAGTTAAGATCATCGATGATTGGGTAAAAGAAAAAAGATGAGTACATTGAATTGCCCAGCTGACCTGAAGAGTTTTGAATATGTGAACAGAAGAATTCCTTTTCATGAGAAGGACTTCCCGGGACATACATGCTCTGAAAAGAGTCCATTTGGGAAGGGAATATGCACTGAAGTTGATTGCATTCTCATGTGCCTTCGACTTATCAAATGGCACCGAAATATCTTTATGGAGTTTCTTCCCATGCTTAAACTCCTTAAATTTACGTGAAAACATGTCAATAGACACATAACTGTATGGAGCCCAATTGTTGTGCCAATATTGCTTTTGATCTTTTCTTGAAATAACCTGAAAACCAGTCATCTATTCAAAATCCTAAATGATTAAATAAAGAGTGACAGCTTCATTCGATATACTTGCCTCCTGGAGAAAATCAGCTACTCCTTTTCTTTCAGGACACCTAAATCCACAAATACTAAAAAACTCTAAAACATCACTTCGAGGTCCATGATAGATTATTTTCCCCTCTCCCATCAGAATAATTTCATCAAAGATATCAAAGGTCTCTGGAGGAGGTTGGAGAAGTGAAACAAGGATTGTAGAATCTGTGAGGTGCGCCATCTGCTGCAGGCAGCAAGTAATCTGATACGTAGTCGAGCTGTCTAGGCCGTTTGAGATTTCGTCCATGAACAAAGCTTTTGTTGGCCCAACAATCATCTCACCTGCACTGTGTTATATATTTGAAGATCCAAAAAAGCATAAATTGAAGTTTGACATGTAAAACATTGGCATCAAAGTTACCTGTCGTCAGTCTCTTTTTCTGCCCACCAGATATACCTCTTCTCATCTCATCTCCAAATATTGTGTCTGCGCATATATCAAGTCCGAGAATCTGAAATGGTCAAGATGAATAGGGAAAGTGTCAACACAATGTGCTCTTTTGAATGAAATGTGATAGTTTGTTGAATCCAGCAGGTGAGGTACTTTCAATATGTAGTCTGTCTGAAGTGTAGTTTTTTGTCCCTCTACAGAAATAGCCTGTTCAAACAAACTGGTATTATGAATTCAACATTAAAAAGACAAGTATATATGTACAATGAAGGTTGAATTAAATGAAATATTTCTAGCAGATGGATCATGGGAAACACAACCAAATTTTTGTGAGATTCAATCAAGCACCTTCATGTAAGTATCTATATCGGGGTCAGGAACAATTCCGGCTTCTTTTTCTCTCCTGGTAACCTCAGCCATAATTTCTTCAAAGGAAGAAGAGGAAATCATGCTATAACTTACTAAAAATTTTAGTAGAAAATCAAGTTTCTGCTCACTCCATAGGTACCTGCTCTGCTGCCGATGCCTTGACAACGAGAAGAAAAATCTAGTGTTTCTCGGACAGTCATTTCAGGGATATGCATATCATATTGGCTTATGTAAGCCGAAGTTTTCTGAGGCACAAACTCATTGAGTGAATATCCGTTGTATGAAATCTCTCCATCAACCTGTTGCAGTGTAGAGAAATAGCTAAAAACCAAAAGGTGCATTGGAATCACATAAGAAAGCATATGAAAAAACGAAAACCTTACCTTAAGTGATTTATCTAAATTCCCAGATAGAGCTTTCAAAAGTGTAGTTTTCCCACACCCTGGAGGGCCAAGTAGTAAAGTGATTCTGTGAAACATAGAAGAGGTAAGAAATATAGCAAAAGATGAAACGAAATAGTGAAAACTTAACAATGCTACACTTGATCTAGATTACATGTTTATAAATTTGGTTTTTACCTTCCTGGCTTGATCACACCACTCACATCATTAATGATGCTAATGCGAGCCTCCTTCCGTGGCAAACCTGGCAATCTCGCGATATTCTGTCGAACAAAATGAATTGCATAAACAAATCGATAACCAAATCGATACACGGATTAAAATTTGAAAAGGGGACTGAGGAGGTTTCTAAATAGCAGCTGATCTGAAATTCATAAATATATCTTGCGTTTAACTAATTTATAAGCATGGCTCACCGAAACCAAGCTTTTGAGAGAGTTCCAAAGGGTCGGGAGAGGCTTCCCGTAAACGACCTCGCACTCGGCTTCCACACGCAGATTCGAATACCTAATCTCTATTGTTGGCAGCTCAACTCCTACTCTACATCAGCATCAATATACTGTAAGCCTTTGAATATGCAGCACCGAAAGTAATAATCAATGGATTTACAGAATCGTTTCAGATGATTCTTACTTATCTATTCGTCTCCTCATTTTGCACAGCAATTTGAGATTGTCGTGCTCAATGTTCTTAATGAGCTTCTCGATGAACATATGCTTCTCAGAGGCCCCAAGTTTGGTAACATCGAACACCTTTTCCCCTTTAGCGCCGTTTTCATCAGACAAAGAAGTTCTCAGCTGCTCCAATGTCGGAAATCTGTCAAGCGCCGCCGAATGCTCTTCGAGATCGACGGAGCTCGCCGGAGAACCGGTGTGGTGGAAGGACGACCGCACGCTCTGACTGATCTCCGGTACATCAATTCGGAACGAGTCTGTGTCTTCCCTTGCGTTAAACTGGTCCATTGCAGTATGTATTGATTCTCAGAAGATTTACGAAAGTTGAGACGACGGCGACATCGGCGACATGGCGGAAGCAGCAGTTGGCGTCAGGTGTAAATGCAATGTGTACCGTTGGCTATGACTCCGCCATGCTTATGTAGGTGTGATTAATTTAAAATTTAAATATATAAAATTTTAAATTTAAATAATAATTAATATTTTAAATATAAAATTAATATAATATAAAATCTCATCAAATCATTCAAACAAACGCACACCAACAGTAGTGCGCGTCAGCCTGACAGGGGTCGAAACGCAGGGAATTATTCTGAATAAAATAAGTCGGCCGGTTTACGAACGGTTTTTTTGCCGGTTTTTTAGCTATTGTATATATGGACGTAATACTTTTACCCCCACCGTTCATATCTTTATTCTCAAATATTTTTTTTTTCTTTAGATTTACTCAATTAATTAAAATTTAATTATTATTCTTTATTCAATAGTTATTTACGATAAATATTATTAATTTTATTACATAATTTTTTTTATTCTAAATAAATTTCTAAAAATATATTTTATATTTTATATTTTTTAATAAAATATTTATTTTTTTAAATTTTTGAATCAATTTTAAATAGACTAAATCTTTGCTGACGGACAAAGTACTATTTATTAATAATGTTTATTCCCTACAATTTTTTTTTGTTTATTTTTTTTGTTTTTGTTTTTAATTTTTTTTTCAAAATAATTATATAATTTAATTATATTTTAAATGTTATAATAAATATTTTTTAAAATTTTAATTAAATTAATTAGTTATTTTAATTTTATTTTATAATTATTTATATTATATAATAAATTTTTTTATTAATATATTTTTTAATTACTTATTAATCATGTTCTACCTTAGTATAAACTTAGACATAGAATGTGAAGCTGATGGAATAATATTTTCCAAAAATTATTACATAGTATTTTAATATTAAATGAGGTAGGAATATAGGGCTACTATTTTTGGAGTAATTCTTTTATCCAAGGTAATATTCTGCACGTGAGAAAGACGTGCTGGTTGACCGAAATGATATCTTTTGCACGCCAAATGAAGGATTATGTTTGGTGGGATTTATGCATCAATCTCCAACAATTCAACCTACCTAAACAGATTCTCTTTGACTAAAATAAATATACGTGGCACATATAATTGGTAAAAAATTATGGATTTATTTTATTATTTTTTTAATATATTTTTACAATCTATAATAATTTTCTTCCGTACAAAAACTATTTTATTTAATTATCATTCAACTTAAAATTAAAATATATATGCATATGCATGAACCAATATATAAACACATTGTTATAAAAAAAATGGGAAAAAATTGTTTTGGTCTCAGTATAATCAAAATTCATCAATTTTGATCTTAATATAAAAATTTTATTAATTTTGGTCTCAATATAACCGAAACTCATCTTTTTTGTCCCAGTATAAAAATCTTATCAATTTTGGTCTCAATTTAACCAAAACTTATCATTTTTAGTCATAATATAATCAAATCTTATTTTTTTTGGTCTCACCGTCAATAAACCGACGGAAAATGCTGGCGTGGACTTGCAAGATTGTGCAATTTTTTCAAATATAAATATAAGGTTTAATTTGTTTTTACGTCAGCATTTTCTATCAGTTTGTTGACGGTGGGACAAAAAAAAAAGGATTTGATTATATTGAAAAAATGACGAGTTTTTGTTATATTTGGATTAAAATTGATAAAAATTTTATATTGAAACAAAAAATGATTAGTTTTGATTATATTTCGACCAAAATTGATAAGATTTTTATATTATGACCAAAATTGATGAATTTTGGTTATATTGGAACCAAAAATAATTTTTTCCAAATATATATATATATATAAACACATTTAACAAAGAATTAATAGCTAACAATGCTTCATAAGCTAATAAGAGACAGTTGAGTTGGTCTAATAAGGTAAGTGATGACCTCAGGTTGTGTTCTTTTAACATAAATTAGTTTTTTTTTTTTTTTGGTTTGGCTAATTTGTCCCATTTGAATTAGACACAGCATTTTATGTATTGTATAGTTAGTGAATAATTAAAAAATATAGTAATAAAAATAATTATAATTTAATAAAAAGTAATTTTAGATTAAAATTAAAATGACTAAATAGTTTAATTAAAATAAATATATATATATTATGAATTTTAAAATATAATTAAACTGTATAATTGTGTTTTCAAAAAAAAATGACTACGTAGGACGAATTGATATAGAAATAATGGAGAAATTATGTGAGACGAATATGATAAGATATTAATTTTTATTTTAAAATTAATAAAAGAACCATATATGCAATTTTAATATATATATATATGTCCTGCCTAATTATGTTTTTTTTTTTTTTTTAATGTCTTATCCAAATATGTCATTTAAAAAATAAATAAATAACAAATTTTAAACAATTAAAACTTAATTAATTGAAATTGATCTATTTGGTTTTGTTGAAACGTGACTTGGATTTAGCGGTCTATCCGACCCTAAATCAAAGCGAAAAGGTTGTTTTAATTGGCATGGTTCCTTTTGGGCTTATCCTAATTAATAACAAATAGGTTTAGGATTTTTAGGGTGTTTTGGGGTGCTTATAAATAGACAACTATGGTTCTTAGTCGGATGACACATTGTAAATCTCTGAATCAGTATAATAAAATCTCTCTGGTTCCTGCCCGTGGACGTAGGTTGACACACCGTCACCAAACCACGTAAAACCTCTGTGTTCTTTATTTATTTTCTTTCTCGTTTTCTCATAACAAGTGGTATCAGAGCCATATCTCATTGATTGAAAATGTCCTCGTATAAGTTTGATATGGAGAAGTTTAATGGGTCGAATGACTTCATGCTCTGGAAGGACAAAATGAGGGCACTTCTGGTTCAACAAGGATGTGCGGCTGCGTTGGAGGGAGAAGACAAGTTTCCTAAAGACACGAAGGAGGAGGTAAATAAGGAGACTTAGGCAATGGCTCATTCCGCGATCTTGTTGTCAGTTACTGATGAGGTGTTACGGGAGGTTGTAGATCGGACAACGGCTTTTGGGTTATGGAATAAACTGTGTGAGAAGTACCAAAACAACTCTCTCACGAACAGACTATATCAGAAGCAACGTCTTTACACCCTCCGAATGTCCGAAATTACTCAGGTAAAGGATCATCTTGATACCTTTAACAGTATCATTCTTAATCTTCAAGAAGTTGAGGTTAAAGTAGATGATGAAGATCAAGCCCTAATTTTATTGTGTTCACTACCTGGTTCATATGAAAATTTTGTAGATACTATGCTATATGGTAGAACTACAATTTCTGTTAATGATGTGAAAGATGCCTTTATGTCCAAAGAATTGAAAAGAAAAGTTTCTCTGGAAGAGGGTTATAGTTCAGGTCTGTTTGCAGGTAGGGGAAAACCACATGAGAGGGGTAACGAGAATGGGAGGTCGCGTTCAAAATCAAAACCCTCTAGCAAAGTTAGGTGTTATCTTTGCAAGGAGAAATGGCACGTTAAAAGGGATTGTCCACAGAAGAAGGGAAATACAAAAGTTTATTCTAGTAACAGTGGCAGCAGTGCTGCTGTGGTACAAGACAGTTCTGATGATGGGGACTTTGATGAAGTTCTGACAGCGTATAGTGCTAGTACTGCTGATTCCTGGATTATGGATACTGGTGCTTCTCACCATATGACATTCTCTCATGATCTACTCACTTCTTTTAAGGAGTGGAATGGAACGGTGAAGTTAGGTGATGATGGGGTTCTAGCCATAAAAGGGAGCGGGGTAGTGCAGATAAAATTGCATGACGGTACTGTCAGGAAATTTGACTGTTGGTATGTTCCTGAACTCAGAAAGAATTTGATTTCTCTTGGTACCTTAGCCAAGAATGGTTTAAAATATCATGGTGAAGGTGAGTGGGTGAAAGTCCTGAAAGATGCTCTGGTAATGATGAAGGGAAAACTGCAGCATGGAATTTATTTTCTACAGGGTAGTTCAGTGATGGGAACAGCGGCGGTATCCCAGTCCTTGGATAAACATGATGACAGGACAAATTTGTGGCACCGTTGATTAGGTCACATGAGTGAGCTAGGGTTGTCTGTGTTGAGCAAGCAGGGTTTATTTGGTGAGAATATGATAGGTAAAATTCAATTTTGTGAGGCTTGTGTAAAAGGGAAGCAACGCAGGGTGAGGTTTAGTACCGGTCATCACACTTCAAAAGAAATTCTGGAGTATGTTCATTCAGATCTATGGGGTCCCTCTCCGGTGAAATCGCAGGGCGGGTGTTCTTACTTTGTCACTTTCATAGATGATTATTCGAGAAAAGTCTGGTTGTACTTTCTGAAAACTAAAGATGGGGTGTTTGGAAAGTTCAAGGAGTGAAAGACCATGGTTGAAAAACGGACGGGTAAACAGGTCAAGACTCTAAGAACTGATAATGGGTTGGAGTTCTGCAACGCTCCATTTGATGATTTCTGCAAGAAATAAGGTATAGTGAGGCACCGCACTGTACGACACACACCACAGCAAAATGGAGTTGCAGAGCGAATGAATCAAACCCTCATGGCGCGTGCTAGGTGTATGCGCATATTTGCTGGCTTATCTAAGCAATTCTGGGCTGAAGCAGTTAACACTGCTAGTTATCTGGTTAATAGACCTCCATCAACTGCAATTGACTTAAAGACTCCTCAAGAGGTATGGTCCGGTAAATCCTCTGATTACTATAATCTAAGAATATTAGGATGCCCTGCATACGCTCATGTGAACGATGGTAAGCTGGAGCCGAGGGCGGTAAAATGCATATTTCTAGGGTATGCAACAGGAGTAAAAGGTTATCGACTGTGGTGTACAGAAGGTAAAAATGCTGGTAAATTTCTTATTAGCAGAGATGTAACCTTTGATGAATCTGCTATGCTTGATCAGAGTAGAGGTTGTGAAAGTATTGCAGGTACAAAAGATTGTGGTGCTAACCAGAGAGTGGAGTTTGAGACTCCTGACAGAGTTGTGTTAGAGAAAGAGCAGCAGGATAATACTATTGATCAATCCGATCAACCAGATCAGTCAAAACCTCAAGGGAAACCGGTTGAGGGGGAAGCTGATGACGCTGGTACTGGGGTTGAAGATTCCATAGCAGCAAGAAAATGAAAGAGAAATATTCAGAAACCAGCTAGGTTTGCA